ATAAATAGCGTATTTCAGTTAGAAGCAATCCAGTATAGGGGCGGCATGTGCAATACCGTTGCCTGCATGGCATATGCGCCATGAAATGTGAGGGTTGTTGAACTTTTAAGCGAAAGGAAAGGCATCATCCAAGCATTGTCATCTGCCCCAGTTTCGGTTCGTACTCGCGCTCGAAACACGACCCTCGCATGAAACGCTCCTCACCTTTGACATTTTCCGTCTCATCTCCCCATTCTCCATTACGTTCGCTACCCGTATCAGATATAGAAGATATGTTGCCCGTGATGCCGCTTCAGCAGGTCCAGGCGGGCATAGTCCAACTTACAAAGGGCACCCGTGCAATGGGACTGTTCCCAGATGATCAGAATATTCCTCGACCTCCCCCAATACCAGAACATATTGCGACTTGCATCAACACGAAAAGGGACAAGAGGAACCCGTTAGCACAGAAGGAGAAGGATGCGAAAGCATACTTTAACGTCCTGCGAGAACTCGGGGAGTACGTACATGAACATAACCAAAAGCATATTGACAATCCGAAAATGCATTATCGCTGGTACGACGCAACGCTTAGCGATAAGCAGAGGATTGAAACGCTTCTGTGGATTTGTTGAAGACTTGGCTCTTAGGATCCTGGGAAGGAAATATGGAGAAGAAACATACGACAAGTCATATCGAAAACTGCCCCATCATCTCACCCTTATCATCCTCCAAGCAGCTTCGGACGCTAACTTCGACCCGTTGACGCAAGGGGTCCGCAACTACGCCATTCGAAAGATCGTCTCTGCGAAAATGATTTCAAAACGCAAGGCAAACATTGCCGCCAAGAAGATGGAAAAAGAGCGCACTCGTCAGCTTTTGATTGCACCTGCTACTACGACTGGATGTCGAAAAACGGGGCAAACAAATACCAAGGACATCGCACTGGAGATCCATTCGAACTGCGACATGCCATCAGATTTCTTCAATGGTCTTGCTTGTACTACTGTGGCGGATCTGCCAAACTGCATTGCCGTAGCAGTCCCTGAATACAATGTGAGTTTCTCGTTAAGCCCCTCCGAAGAACCCGGGGAAAGTACCGCAAGATTTGTGGGGCGCACTCCAACCGCAGTAACACGTCAAAATGATGCATCGCATTATGTTCACAAAAAATTGGGGTCCCGAAAGCCGAGCGTTGAAATACCGGTTCCCGACCATTATGAAACTGGAAACAAACGAAATAAAGGGCCATCGAAAATGGACATTGATTGTCCTGGGGTAACAAAGCTCGTAGGTGAGTCGCAAGAATGAAACCTGTCAGCAAAGCACCGCTGTCAACATTCCACGAACATCTTGGATCCAAGCATGATCAGAATGTTGTGTATGTGCATGCAGAGATATCAGCGACTGATGCTGTTGCATCTCGGATCAGAGCAAACCCACTTGTCCGCGGTCGCATGAACATAAAAGAGAACAGGAAGACCGAAAGTCAGGCAAACACTTTGGATGTCGCTGCTATCAAAGTCCCCGAATTGTTAGAACCCCACGGTAACGATGGTGAAGATGGGGCTGGGGACCGTAAAATATCGCCAAGGGACGCAGTACATGAGACAAAAGCCACGGTAAGAATGTCGCAAAAGAAGTACAAGACAACATGCAAAATATACCCCCTGTTTCTGAACCGAATGCACTGCTAGTTGAGTTTGAGGCCTTTCAAGCATGGAGGGCCGAAGAAATGCGCCGGGCAGGCGAAAAGAGCAAGAAGAAGTCAAAGGTTAAGCGTAAGGCAAGTTCGTCATCAGCAACACCCAAGAAGAAGATTGGAGCTCCGCATTCAAGAGAGAAGGCCGAATGCCCCAATGAGGGAGATGAAGCGTAGGAATGATGAGGCGAAAAAGTATTCACGAGCTTGTGTTTCTTGCGACTTGTAGTGATCTGCATGATATCATAGAAATAGGAAGATTGCCACAGTGACAGGCTTGCCACCTTGTCCCTGTGCGATTAAAGCTTTCGTTCATGCGTATATCCTTGCGAAAATAGCAAGACGAGCGCAGAGACGTAAACACCGATGATTCCTTACTTTTCACATTTGCCGGATCGGAAAACCAGAATCTTGAAGTCTTCACACGGATCCTCGGGAGCTTGAAGTGTAGAGTGCTGTGGAGATATGGGTTAAGGACAGTATTGTAGGCAGTGTGTATTGGTCTCTTTGCTTTGTCTTGTACTGAGTATACAGATTGGCCGGTTTGTCGTACGGGGTGGTTGGAATTCTGCGTTGGTGGCCATCGGAAGGACGTGCTGGTCTGCGACAGAGCCGGACCAGGTGTAGATTTGGGTCAGGCCGAGGTTTGCGGAGTTGGGCCCGGAGGAGGACACGAAAAGCTCGCCGTCTTCTCCCTGCAAGTAGAAGAGGGTGGATGAGGAGGGTTAGTATGGTTGGCGTGGCGTGATAGAAAATTTCTCAAGTTGAGGAATTGTGACTGTTCGTGCCTGGTATCCTTTGAAGATGAAGGAGGCGACGGGGAAGTTGAGGTATCTAAAAAAGTAGAGCAGGGCGGCCCTGACAACTGCGAACTCCCCCGCAGGATGCAGGGCGTACAGCTACGGTGTGCGCGGGAGAAGGAGGAAGAGTGTGTGAGCAGAGCGGGTACAAGACCAGGATGAGGTGGCGAGCGAGCATGCCACAACGTACGCGTTTGACCTGGTGCTGCAAGGCGTCGACCTCCTCCCTGCGAGGCTGTGCGGGCAGCAATGCGCGCATGTCAGCCAGCATGTGCGCAGTGGCGTCGACGAAGCGCGCGGGGCGTGTTGCAGCGCAGCGCGTACAGCTTGACGGCCATGGCCGCGATGCGGAACATCTACGCGGCGCACGGACTCTCGCGCGGAAGTTTTGCAGGCGGGTGTCGTTTAGAGCGACGTCTCGCTCCTCCGCGCTCGCGCATCTCGTTCAACGCTCAGTGGGCAATGCACCGTCTCGAAGCTGCGCGCGTCGACGCGCAAGGCATTGTACGCAAGGCACGCGCGGAACACGTCCCTCATCTCGCGCGGCGCGCGCAGCGCGCGCCCGCGGAAAGCGCGCTGCGCCAGCACCAGCAGCTGCGCAGCGACTGCGTCGAGCATTGCGCGAGGGGCGGCGGGGTGTCAGGGGCGGGGCAGCGGGACGCATGCGGCAGCGCGCCACGATCAGGAAGCGATCGCACCGTCCTCGCACAGGGGCGAGCATGATACGTGCCACGCCTGCACATGCGCAGCTAATACGAAAACCAGCTCGGCGGCCATGTTGGCGGCGTAGAACGGGGCGGCGCACGCGGATGCCGTCGCGGTGGAGCCGGGTAGGGGGGGCGGAGGTAGCGGGGGGCGGGTCTGGCGGGGCGGGGCGAGCGTGCGGTGTTGCGCACCGCGCGGCACATGCGCCGAATCGCGCGTGGGCACGCCCACACACGTGTACGACACGAGGCGCGCTTCGGCGGCTCGCGCGTGACGTGGGCGCCGCCGCTGCACTTGCGCCGCCCGGAAACACCTGCATTACACCGCCCTACATGACGCCGTACCTCGCCGGTACCGTTCGTACCCGCTACACAACCTCCGTGCGGTCCACTTTACCCCCTGCCCTTCTCTTTCAACCATTGGGCTCCGCGATTACCCCTTGCGCTCCGTTCCTCCTTCCCCGCCCGCCCGGCCCGCTCCCGCCCGCACCCACCCGCCCCGTGATGGACTCTGCGCCGCCCGTGCCGCCGCCGCCGCTGCTGCCGCCGCTCGCCGCCAGTCTGGCCGCGCTGTCCGCGTGGCTCTGATAGACTTTGGACAATGCAAGGAAATTCCCGATGATCTGCGGCGGCGGCTACTGCATACTGTATGCTCCTTCTACATAGCGGTGAACACGAAGAAGCGGGTGTACATGGTAAAAACGCTCAGCGACCGGGGAAACGACCAAGGGATCGACCTAGGAATCGACCTAGGAATCGAACTGGACTTGTGGATCGATGACATGTACGATGCGTTTCTCGACATGATTCCCGTGTACGCCACCGGGATGCTACAGTAGACACGGCGGCGCTGCCCGGCGGATAGAATTACCATCTCAAAACACAACCTCCGCCATCTGCCATCCCCCGCCCTCATCGCGCGCCTCATTCCCTCTCCAACTTCCACCATGTCTCCCACCACCACTCCCATCATGCCCTGCTTCATCTCCACCTCCCTCGTGCTCCGCCGTGGCGCCCGCTCGTCGCCGTCGACGGACATCACGCGCCTCTTCCCGCGCTTGTACGCCGCGCCGCGCCGCAGTCGCGCCTCCATGTCCCCAAGCCGCCTCCGCCCCTCCCCTTCCTCCTCCTCTCTGACATATTCTCCGTCAACAGGAGCTCGCTCTACACCACGGCCTTCATCTCCTTCCTGACCGTCTGGGGTGGCATTCCCTTCATCAAGGTCTCGACCAAGCCGCGCATCACCCAGGCCGCCTTCACGCTGCGCGAGCCGGCCCCGCCCTCGCCAAGCGCAGGGCCCGCCATTTGATGGAGCGCTCCCTCGTCCCCGACCTGGAGAAGGACGGCCGTGACGGCGTCGCCACTTTCACGGACAAAGTTCGGGCCAGCTCAAGCGTCACTTCCATTTTGGTCGCCGTTACTGCCAGTGGTATTTGGAGCGCAAGCTATATTCTTAACTTTGTCCTCCCACAATCCTTGCAGAGCCCGTATTATGGTTAGTTGTCCCTGCTCTCTGTCCTCACCGTCACCTGGTATTGGAAGCAGGCTAGTCGCGTCGAGGAGGTCAAGGTCATGGTCGAAGAGGAGGATTCTCGCCTTAGCAAGGTCTACATCAAGGGGCATAGGGATGAGATTGAGACCATGGAGCGCGCATTCAGCTGGAAACGTGATTAACCAGTTTATGAAGGCAGTGAAAAGGACGACGCCAAACCCGCCGCCGCTCTGAGCAGTACCAATACAAGCCCATTATGCCACGCGTTTCGTTTGTGTATGTTATGTATATACTCTCTACGGTAAGGACGGCATGCACGTGTTTCATATTTTACAAACACTCGCCAACAGACTCGTCTGAGATGCGTATAGATAGTCTCCGACATTGCTCGGCAGTTTCAAAGTTTGCATTGCGTAGATCCTTTCGATGGACCGCAGCGCTCCCATGTCCCCCGACGTCACAAACGTGATCGCCACTCCCTTACGTCCAAACTTCCCGCTCCTGCAAATGCCATGTAAGTACGACTCCTGCTCGTTCAGCACGTCGTAGTTGATCACCAGGCTCACCTGTTGCACATCGATCCCCCTCGACCAGATGTCTGTCGCGATCAGCACTTGCGAATGCCCCTTCCGAAACGAATCCATCACCTCGTTCCGCCGCTCTTGCGTCATGCTCCCGGACATCGACATCACCGTGAAGCCGTTCTCCACCATCTTCTTCGTAAGCCACTCAACGTTTCTCTTCTTGTTGCAAAAGATCACCGCCTGCGTGATCGTCAACATTTCGTACAGATCGCACAGAGTCTCAAACTTCCACTTTTCTTGCTCCATATCCACATAAAACTGCCAGAATCCGTCTAGGCTCAGTCAGTCGCGCTTCACTAGCACAGAAAATGGGTCTGTCATGAACTTTTCCGACATCTCAACCACCTGATCGGGCAAAGTCGCCGAAACCAATGCCACTTGCACATCAGCCGGTATGGAGCGATATATGTCGTAGAACTGCTCCTTAAACCCACTCCCAAACATTTGATCAGCCTCATCCAAAACCAGCGTCTTCAACTTTTTGCAGTCCAATGCTCCTCTCTGAATCATATCAAACACACGCGCCGGAGCTCCAATGACAATATGCACTCCATTCTTCCCAAGCGCCCCCATATCCTCCCCCACTCTATTACCGCCCACGCACCCAAGCATTTAAGCATGGTGTACTCTCCGAACGAGCGAATATCACCCTCCGTCTGCTTCGAAAGATACCGTATCGGAGAAAGAATGTGGACCTGGACAGCCTGCGAGTCCGGCGACGCGATTTGCAAGGACCCAAACGCAATCAATGACGTCTTCCCCGTGCCACTCTGCGCCTGGGCGATCACGTCGCGCTTTCTGATGAGCGGCATGACGCAGTGCTGCTGGATGAGGGACGGGGCATAGTAGCCCGCTGAATAGATGCCGCGAAGCAAATCGGGCTCCAGTCGCATCGATTCGAACGAGAGGTGCTCGGTATCTTCCGCGACGTCCTGAAGTTGGCGGTCTCGGGCGGGTGGGCCGTGCCACGCGAGGACTCCGAGCCCGCCGGGGAGGGCGACCGCAGCGAAGAGCCACGGGGACGGCGAGGCGGGCAGCAGTGGCGACGTGGAGGGATGACAGGCGACGCGGCGCGGACAACGCCCGATGGGGCGAGTGCCCTTCGCGGCGTCTGGAGCTCCGCATGTGATCTCTTGTGCTCATTGCACCAGCGTCACTTTTAGGTGGAGATAACCGCCAAAAGGAACGAGTGCGGAGTGGGAAAGGGGGTCGGTAAGAACGGAAACTCGGGCGAGGCGCTGCCGGTTTAGATGTGGCGGGACGACGCCATGACAGTTGTTGCCACTTGCGCGCGTCGCCTATCCGCCTTTACCATTACAGGTAAGCTGCATAACACCGCTTTCCTTGCGGGCAGTCGCGTGTTGGTTCCACGAATTCCACGGCTGCCTGCTCCCACATCCATCGAAGTGGGACGAAATCATGTTCTGACACTGCTGTCGCACTACAGCAGCCATGCATATATTAACCCCTACTACGAATGCACTGCGCATATGCTACAGCGGTATTCCATATTTTCTCTCTAAATTGTAACTTGAGCACAGCTGTATGGACGCACACTACGGAGGTACTGCAGTTGGACTACTAGTCTTCCGGTCGTACTACGAGTAGCCTACGATCGACGACAGTAGGGTTGCTAGGGTCCTATCGCTGGGAGTGTTTATGCTACAGTGGTCTCCCGACCTAGAAGACCGTGGAGTCCGATCTCCGAGAAGACTTCCGCTTCCCTTCGCAAACCGATGGCGTCGAGATGAGCCAAGAGTTTGAGCCCTCGATCCGCTCCAAAGCGGCGGATCTGAGTCCGACCGCTGTGCAGTCCCCAGCCGCCCCGTCGGGCGACGGCGACGCAAGTCTTCGTGACCGCGAACCGTCGCTCGGTTCCTCCGAGGAAAGAGCGGCGGCGATGTTCGAACGCATAGCCGAATACATCGACGAAGTCCGTACTTCCCTTCCGATCGATGTATCGGACCATGTATACACTCGATGTATGGCCGAACTCCGCTCCCTGCGTGAAGGGAGGTTCGATAGAGTGACGCAGTCGTTAGAGAATTTCTGAGCACTGATCGGCGAGTTACACTCGCGGATAGTGCTCGTCGAAGACTCCCGTTTCGCCTCGCCCGGACCGTCCGGGCAAGGTCGTCCTGAGAGGCCGACCTCGGTGAGACGACCCGAGGACCGAACCTCTCCGTCCGCAGAGCAATTGGGTGCGTTCGCGCACCTCTCCGCTGAGCTCGACGCCACTCGTCGGCGTGCTCGTGACATGGAACGTACCATGGCCGAAAGGCTACCCGGTGCCCCCTCAAGAGGGCCTGGTGGTACCGTACCTCCGAGCGCCGCCACCCCTGAAGGTTGGCGTCCGACTGGTGCCGCTACCAATTGGACTGCAGAAGGAAGCCGTCCTCCGATAGACGCGAACTTGGCGTCTGAGACCCAAGCCTTGCCGCCTATCGCCGGAAGTAGGCGGCAAGTGGACCGCGTATCGTACGCGGACGAACAGGATCGTGGAGGAGCCGCTCGCAGATCCGGAGAACCGATGTTCTCCGTAGATCCCCGCTGGGGCGGCTAACCGCCGGCGAGTTACGCCGAGTATCCAGGTCCGGTAGTCGTCCGTACGCTACCGGTTACCTCCTTCAGCACGCTGGGTCCCGCTGAACCCGGGCTCGAGCCGGTACATACGATGATCCAATAGTTCAGCGCCGTTGCTGACTATCGTATGTACCGCTTGGATAACACCTCGAGGCTAGTTACCTCGGGTGACGCGGGACGGATGGCGAAGTACGTCCAACGCTGTCGTGGGATCCGTTCCACGATGCGCAGCTTCGACGGTGCCGACCCGATCTAGCTGCTGCCGTTTTTGAAGGATATCGGAATCACCTTCAACTGGCAACACCTGACCGAAGGTGTTGCGGTACGAGTCCTCGCACACTTCCTCGAGCGCGACGCGGAGCGCCTGTATACGAGTTATACGATGCGTGGCCTCTGCGCCGGCCAGCGCCATGACGACGTGAGCTGGCCGGGGCTCGTGAATCAATTCTTAAAACGCTACCTCACGGACGACGTGTTAGGTGAAGCGTACGACGCTGTCGCTACGGCGCGACAGCAATCGCATGACACGGAAAGCACGTTTTCTGACCGACTCGAGACTGCCGCGTTCCAATGCACGGCAGTCTTCTCCGAACAGTCCCTCGCGCACTACTTCGTGCGGGGACTTGCACCGGCAACCCGTGCCGCAGTATCCGAAACTGTGCAAAGGCTGCCAGGCAGTCAGAAGACCGATCTTCCGACCATCCGCCGTATCGCCACGGCGGAAGGTACAACGTACCGCGCTCGGCGCGGTTTACCTCTGCCAGATTCGAAACCGGCAGGGAGGGCTGGCAGGACTACGAAGTCCGCCGCGACAAGTTCGCCCGCCTCGATCCTCCATATCGGGGAGGATGAGTGGCAGGCCGACCCTGTCCTCATTACGCAAGAAGCAGGGCCCGTGGGGGCACAAACCCCCTCACCGATGTCGACCGGAACGACATCGAGTTACGCGACCGCGTTCACGGCCACTCCAAGAGTGGTAAGGGGTACGGACCCCCGGGTCGCAGAGCTCGACATATCGAACCGAGATGCAGGAGGCGAAGCGCCTCGCGTGCCCCTTCTCACCGATGAGGAGGCGCGGCACGCGGTGACCTTCGCCTCAACGGACGGCAGCGCGTACGTGTGCTGGCTATGCCGTACGTACGGGCATGCCATGTACGCGTGCCCGTTCCTGTCGCCGGAACAACGAATGTTCACGGCGTACAGGAACTACCGCTACCAGATGGAGACGCGCCCCGGTGCGCGTAATCTCCTCCGGCAAGCGGCGAGCGAGGGCCGTCCCCCGCGTCAAGGTTTCCCGAACCGATCGGGTGGGGGCGCACGCTTCGCCCCCCGTGGAGGCGGATACCGTCGTAACGAAGTCGATCGTCGGGATCGACCCGCCTACCGGCGGGCGGACACAAGGTACCCCCGTAGAGAAGAAAGAGGAGACCGAGACCGTTCTCGGTTACCCTAACAGGTACAAAATGCGATAATGTACCTGCAAGACTGGGTAGAGGATCCGTACCCTCTACCCATGGAGGGTCACGAAGGCGAGCCGACTCGCTTCGTCCCCCGTATCCTGCGACGACCGGACGCCGCAGGTCAAGGCCCGGAAGTACCCGAATACTTCGCCAGGGCCGCTGAGCCGCAGTGGGGGAATCGTCCCGACCCACGCGCACGGCTACCCGAAGAAGACCTGGCCGTCGATAGCCAGGAGGTTAGCTACGATAGCACAGGTAGTTCGAAAAAAGGGTAAAGACGGTTACGTACACGCAGTCGCGTGAGCCGTCTCTTCCCCACGAACCAGACCCGACCCCGCGTGCTCGCCAAGGACACGGGACGTATTGTCCAATAATACATCCCCCGCTACCGGAGGCGAACACGGGAGCTAATGTAATGCCGATACAGGAGAGAGCGCACGTCGAGGCCTCCGAAGGCCCGACGTTAGGAGAACAAGACACGGGGACAGCCAACGTCCCGGTGAGGCGTAACAAAGGCGACGAGGGCAACGACGACCGAAAAGATTCGGTCGACCCCCTGACTCCCGCGAGCCCAAGGTCGCCGGAGAAAGGTCCGTGTCGTACGGAATCGAGTAATCCGAGGGGCGTCACTGATCCGCGGACGCCCCAACGAAGGGGGAGAAGGAAACGCAAGCGGGGCCAGCACCGAAATCGAAGGCCCCGGCGGAACGACCTCACCGATAAGGCCGCCCCGAAGGTTGTCCAGCGTCATTTGCCTTATGACGTCGAAGATCTACAACGTCCTCAGCTCGATAGCCACAGAGGGAAATGCATTTAAACCCCGCACGATCGCCGTTGATACGTGCTCGGGGTATATTCTGGTGAGGAAGGCGGACCTTCCCCCCGATTGGACGCGTTTCATCGTGCACGACGCACCTCTGCCACGATTGGCAGGCGCGAATAGCAACCCCCTCAAGCTTTCGGCCGTCGTTCGCCTGGCCGTGCGTTTGAGGAACACGGTGTTCCGAATTCCGTTCGTAGTCGCGGACCGGCTCGCCGTGCCAGTCCTCATCGGCACGGCCTTCATCGATACGCACGTGCGATGTATCGACATCGAAGCTCAACGAATAGAGCTACGCCAAGGCGGTTCTGTCGCCATCGTCGACGGAAAAGGGGAGTCGACTCCCCCTACCAGGCGACACGGACGACACACGGGTCGGCCGTACGTACGCGAGGAGGCCCCGCAGGCGATCCGAATCGCCCACTGGGTTACCATCCCCGCGATGTCACAAGCCCGTGTGCGTGTGACAACCGCGGGGAGGGGCCTCGTGTTCCTGGAGCCCAAGCCCTCACTCCAACACCGACATGGAGTGAGGCTGACGAATGGCGTCGCGGAGGTCCTACCGAATCAGACCTTCGACGTCATCGTCGCGAATTTCTCACGACGAGAAAGGCGGCTTCGGAAGCACACCGTCGTGGGATACGCGAAGCGCAACCCCCTCGCGGTCCTCACCCCCGAACGTAAGGTCGCCGAAGGCATCGCGCACGCGCTACACCTGACCGACTTGACCGATCAAGTCGGTGGGGTAGGAGTTGGCCGATCCAACTCCGACGATAATACCACCGCAGGGGGGTCGACCGGGACGAACGGTCACTTTTATGCCAACCGACGGCGAGGAGTACTGTACTCCACCAGCAAAAGGATCCCGAAAATTCACCGATGGATTGGGAAAAAGAGATCGATCTGTCATACATCGACGATGACAAGCTCCGTGGCCACGTACTCGAGATGCTCCGTAAGCACTCGAGTCTGTGGAGCGGTGCGCTTGGAACGATCCAAGCCACGGGGCACCGCATTCCCCTCGAACCGG